AAAATATGATTTAATCCTAATCATTGATTTTGAACTAAGAAAATAAATTTGAAATTAATTAAGCCGTTTCAAACCTACCCATCCCGATCTCTCTCTCTCCTCTCTACACACACAGAACCGAAATCAGCCCCACTCCCTCTCATTCGCAAAACCGCTCCCTCTCTCTCTCTCTCATTTTTTTGTAAAACCACCCAACCCCATCTCCTGATTCGCGAACTACCCAGCCCCCTCACGCCCTCACTCACGACCCTTCTCCCTCACTCTTTCATTCGCAAACTGTTCTCTCCTCCACCCTCCGATCTACCCGAATAGCCCGCCCCTTTCCCCTTCAAACCGTCCAGCCCATGATCCCTCTCCCCTCACCATTCAAAAAGCACGAAATCAAAGGCCCGCTATCTCTCTGCAATTCGCACATCCCCCCTCCGTCGCCCTCAAAGACCGATCATCTCCGTCTCTCGCAAGAACTCCAGGCGAAAGCTCCTCTCTTTCGTTCATCTCACCCAGGCAAAATCGTCACTAGCCCTAGCCGACCAAACTGCTCCCATCGCCCCTGCTCTTTGTTTTGCGCGACACCAAGGTCGGATGTCTCCCTCTTTGCTTCTATCTCGATTCATAAAGAGGCCGAACCCCCTACCGTCTCACTCTCTATTCGCGCACCTCGAAGGATCGAAGCTAGCCGTTCGCCCCTCTCCAGTCTTCTCCGACCTGCTCCCTAGCTAAAACACCAGCTCTAGCCAGCCTCTTGAATTTCGGTAAAAATCTTCTTCTATTTTCTTGCTAAAAAGGTATATCAATCATTTCTTCTTTTGAGATAAAGATGTGTTGAAATTCCTTTTCATCCATTAGAGATTGATTGCAGAAATTTTAAATTAGTTTTCTGAATTTAGAAGAAATCTAAGGACAATAATTGAAACGTTGTTTACTCTTTTTCTTCCATTCACTCTTCTCTTCTTTCATCCTTAATTAAGATAAAGATCTTGAGCATGTGCTAGTCTTTCTTATCATTGGAAATTTGAGAATAACAAGAGATAAACCTATATGCTTTACAAATTTTGTAAGTTAAACATTTCTTGAACATCACATTTATTTGATTTTCAAATGTTTGCATAAGCCTGATGAGGTTCTCCATATATATAAATGCTTTCTAGATTTTGTCGAATAATTAGTCAGCTTTAAAGAAGATAAACGTATATAGGAGTTGTGTTATACATAAAGAGTTTTTCCAAAAGTGAATATATGTTTACGAGTATTCTTTCCAATAAACCTTTAATGAATCATTTTTTTATTATTATTGGTTCTGATCACTTGTAGTATTAATATTTATTTTAATGAAAAGATTGAAAGGCAAGTGTATTGTATTTTATCTCTAGAAATAAATATAATTTATACATAAATGTTGAGATTTCTCTTAGTAAAATTTATGATAATAAAATGTTGAGTTCTAATATACTTTCTACTTTGGAATGTGATAAAATGTAGAGATTTTCATAGTTTCAATAAAATGTTGTTTTGTTCCTGTTATATAGCTTTATGAGTTTTGGGAAGATATGTTTTGTAATTGTTTTGTTTCATTTAATTGATATATAGATTTGAATAGAAATCATGCATTATATGAGAAATTTGTGTTTAAAGTAAGCAATATGGTATGAATAGTCTTTATGATAGTCAAGGTAAGGAAAAGTCTGAAGTGATTTTTGTTGTATCCATATGGAATGATAATGACAATTTGAGGAATGCATGAATTTTGAACTTGGCTTTTTCTTGTCTTATTTTCTATCAAATAAGAAAGTAAAGTGATTTATATTTGTGTATAATAGTGGAACTTGGGAGAGTTTTGGAAAAAGTGGAGAAAAGTGGAATTGTTAGAAAGTGATTTGCTTAAGTATTTGTTAGAAAACAAAATTGTTTGTGACAGAGATTGATGGTTTTGGGTGAAATTGTTGAAAAATAAATTCTTTCTATTTTTCTTCCCCTTTTATTTCCCCCTTTTCTTATGCTTCAGGATAAATGTTGGAAAGATATACAATATGCTTTTGAAAAAGTAAAGGTTCTAAAAAGGCAAGCAACAAATCTAGTGTTTAAGCCCGAAAAAAGGTACGTCTTTATTTTCAGTAAATTTCAATTCTTTCATTATTATTTATTAAATGTACTTTCTAATCCCTGTTTTTCCATGTTTTCTTTTCTTTATTGGCATAAACTGCGAGGAATGGTACCGGTCGAGGGAACAAAAGGACAAGGAGCTAATGACGTTAGTCCCCTCTATCCAACCGGGTAGAGGTGCTACGGGCGGAACCACCGGGTCATAGCCCCCGGTGACTGTGAGTATTCTAAACTTAGAAAACCTTCAGGGACCCCTTGATGTGGTTTGCGCGAAACCTTCCCTTTTAGGTCCTTGTAGTAACTTCAATTTTATTAGGATTATTTTTGTTTTCTTTTAGATCCTTAAATCCCTTTATACATAAGCAATGTCCTAAGGGTTAGTAATAACAAATATTTTTATCCTATACAACACTAGTGACACTTAAGGATAATAATTAAGGACTGAGTCTTAGAAAACTTAGACTTAGGGTGCATGTACATTTTAGGATAGAAATATATAACATAGAAAACTTAGTAACACCTCATCTTAGGATTAGTGAATCTTTTTAAATAAAAAATTCAATTAATTAGAAAACTTTAGCCAATAATTGACCTAGGACATATCAAAACCTCACAGTCTACTACACACACTTAGATTTGTTTGCTAGAACAACCGACTTTAGCTTTAGGTTAGGCCGGTGTTTATTTCCTTACTGCATTGTGATGGGCTTTCTCGGCTTTCATTGCATGTTGGATGTAAAATTGTTGGTGTGTTTGTTTATTTATTTTTACTGCACTCTGTGATGTGATTTGGTTGACGATTAGATTATCTATAGGTTAGGAGCGATCTGGTTGTTAATAAGATTTTTTGTAGGTAACCACACTCATGCAGGGCAGTAAAAAGGGGGCTAATTAATTAATAATCATATAAATGCTACAGGTGCTTCAGATGCTTAGCCCCCAAATAAAAAAAAAAAGAGTGTGGCCAATTATGGCTAATTGATTTAATTTAAATGCATATATATAACTGCTTGGGATGATTTTTATTATAAACTGCTTAGGATAACCCTGCAGGTGGTCTAGATTTTCTTTTTCTTTCTGTGATGTAAATGTAAATGTATTAAAAAAAATTGTGTGAAAGTGATTTTGAAAGTGGGATATCACATCCAATTTGGAATCCAAAGAAAAGAAAATATACCTTAAAGGATTATTCTTTTTTATTTGGAAAGCCAAATTAGGATGATTTTAGTATCCAAATAGAAAAGAAAATACCCCCATTAGGGATGAGTTTCTTTTCATTTAGATATCCAGACCCGACGGATCCAAGGAGTTCGTAGAAGAAGAAAGGACGAAATGAAGAAATAAAGAAAGAAGACAAAGAAATAAAGACACAAGAAAAAATATATCCCATTTCAAAAATCACTTGCATCATTCTTAGGATTAGAATCCGGGTTTGTTGTCAGTGGTGCCCGGCCACTTTACTTTTTTACAAATCTGGGTGTAATTATATGGACATTGGACATTATATTTTGGATTTATTTAATTTGATTGTTTATATTGTTTGTACAATAGATTTTTTTAGGACCTTGCATGCCATGTTTTGTTTTAGCCTGGATACGAATCAGAGTACTTTTTTTCGTAAGGGTACGCTTAAAATTCTTCTACTTGTAATTTTAATAAAAAATTTTAGGCTCACATAATAACTCTAACGATCTAAGAAGTAAGCTCGGGATCGCCGAGAGTTAGCATAAGCATATTAATAATTTCTCTTCCTTGTTAGGCACCTCCCCGCCTGCGGGTTCTGGCAGACCACTTGACCTATGAGGGTGCAGTTCTGTCAAGGGGAAGTTGTGCAATCTCTAGGGAAAAATCTATTTTTTAAGCCTAATTTTAAAACTGCTTCATATTCATTTTATGCATTCGATTCAATTAGCATGCATTGCATTAGATACAAATTAAAAAGTCTAAAATATTAATTGCATTTCTAGGTATAATTCACCCTACATAAGTTGAGGGGCTAATTATGATCTGTCTTAGATGTCGGCCCCCACTTCCTTAAAACTTAAACAACATCCCTACCCATCTTTCATAAGAGACTGGACGCATGATTTTAAAGCGCCTAGGTGGTTAGCTGGCTCCCTAATCCAGGCCGGGGTAAGTCCAGATTTGCACTTCATTAGTTAGGTTCGGGTTACTACCTTTGTAGTACCCAAATTAGATTTAGGTTCTGAGGCTGATTTCTTTTAGAATCTTAAGTCCTCGCCCTCTGGGAATATAATCCCAAATTTCTAATAAAATATCAACTTAAATATAAAATTTTCTCTTAAAATATAAAACCCAACATAGGATAGACTGAGGTTGCTTCTGAGCTTCTCAGAATCCAGCATCTCCTACTTTTCCTCCTTTGACTCGCTAATAAATGTTCAACATTGAGCTTTCTCCTTGAAAAACTCTTTACTTCTGTTTCTTTGTCTTCTACTTTATAGTTAAAAGGGTATGAAATTACTATTTTAATCGAGAGTTTTCTTAAGAGTATCCATCCTAAGATGTAATTAACTATAGGGGCTTGCTCCTATAGGGATTTGAGAACCCCAGACTAAAATAAACCTTGTTTTATTCATACAAAACAAGGGAAGAATCTTTGGGAATGCAAATATTTTTAAAAACTTCATCTCTAATCTTAAATATACTTGTAGGACGTTATTATTATTTTTCCAGATAATATAATATCTTGTTTGTTATATCTAATTTTAGAAATGATGAATTTTATAAAACTCATTCTTATTTTTAGATGTCTTGATGAATGTTATGTTCGTCTTTTAAGATGATATAATATTCTTCTTATTATATCTAAATAAAAGAACGAATAAATTTTTCAAAAAAAAAGCTTATTTCTATTTTTAAACACATTCTTAAGAATTTCATGTTTATCTTTCGAAATAATATGTTATTCTTTGAATTGTGTTTGATTATAGAAATATCAATTTTCAAAACCCTATTTTGATATTGAATCCATTATAGTATATTGTGTCAGTCTCTTGATATTGTACTTTATTCTTAATGTAGTATTCGATTACAAAATATGAGAAATTAAAATCTGCATGGTGACATAATAAATTTTCCCACCAAGGTTTTTCTGGCGACTTCACTGGGGATCAATCTCTCTCCATCTTTAGTAGTGTTTTATACCCTTTTCGTTAGTAGTATACTTGTGCTTAGCATAGGTTGTAACTACCTTTCTTCCGCCGGTTCTTTTATTCATTTCATTCTTGAATAATTTGGCCGGTATCTAAAAATTTTTAGAAGTCTTATTTTGGACCCCGTTAGAAAATTAACGAGGAGCTCCTTTATAATGGCCTTTTTGTAAAGAAAGCCCCCGTGATAATTCGAATATTGTAGTTACATTTTTCTTGTAGCTTGATATTTCAGTTAGCACTGGGTCCAAAATTTCAAAAGTTGAAATTAAAACACTAAATAAAATTCATCCTTATCTCAATATTATGTATTGTAGTTATATTTCTATATAACTCAATATATATGAAATGAGATAGGATTTAGTTTATTTAGTTTGATTAATTAAACTTTATAATTTAAATAAATTATTCAAAATCTAATTAAAGTTCTCTTTTAAATTTCAGGAAAAATGACGGGTAAATTAATCTTCTCCCTGTCTGATAACATGAACCTGTCCTACAATCTGTTTACTGATGTAGTATAATCAAGTTTGGAAAAGGGTTTGAGGATTTACAGTTGTCTGTTAGTGGACCTGAGTTCACTATTGTTCCACCTAGTGAGGTTACAAATCAGAAACCTATCCTAGAATTCACTTTGGGATGCGGGTCTCAAACTGCTCCTGTAGACCCTAGGCCCTCTGTGTTTACTAGGATTGAGCAACTTAATCAAGACCAGAAACTCAAGTCAGTTGTTGTGGTGGAAAATTCAGTTCCTTTCAGTGCACCTAGCCAGTTTTAGATTGGATCTTCTTCCAATTTATCAACGATTATGACTAAAACTCAGAGAAGGAATAAAAACCGTCGTATAAAAGGAGAATGGAAAAACTAGGAATGTCAAAGAAAAACGAGCTTATCCCTCCAACCTCTCCACATCTTAGTGGTAGTAGGTTCCCTCCTCTCTGCTGCTGATGGAGAGGAAGATGTGAGGTTGATTGCTCGATCATCCCCTACTACTGTTAGAAAGTCTGCAACTGAGCCAACAAAAAGTAAAGAAACATACGTTCAGATTTTGGTACAGGCTATATAGTACAAGAGTGTGCAGATGGTCCTCCACAGACTAGAGGAGAATTTTTAAGGAAAATGAGAAGATTGATCAGTGATAGGATTGAAGAAGAAACCTTAAGGCGGAAACTTATTGAAACTAGGGTAGGAGGTCAGTCGAGAGCAAGAGTTCATAAAAGAAAATTCAAACCAACTGCAATCTCAGCTCTCACTGATGGATACCCTAGGGAGCCAAGAAGATCCAGTAGGAAGACAGACAATATTGTGTTGACTGATGCTTCAGTGAAATTTAAAAGTACCCAAAATGTTCCACAGAAAGTCAGCCGTCAGTTGTCCCCTTCTTCTGCACCACCACAGAGTCCTAGTAAAAATCAATGTAATTCTCGTACCCATTCTTCTCCCCGGATAGATAGGCACCACTCTACGGGTCCTCCGTCTTCTTATCCTGATGTAGAGCGGTTGGAATCCTCTAACCAACCCTCTTCGACATCTGATGAGAAGAAGGTTTGGAGACCCAAGGAAAAGGCTACTTCTCATGTAGTAGCTTCATCTGAGAAGCCTATAGAAAGTGAACTTGAAGAGAAGGAGAGGGTTGAGAATACTACTCCATATCACATAGACTATGAAAAGTATGTTCCTGTTGATCCCCACTATATTTCTGGAAGATCTATAGAGGAGATGATAGGTGAATTAAAAGACAGTATTAGCAATCTGGATGAGGAAGAGGCTTTGAACTTTGACTTAGATAGAGATGATATGTTAGATGATATAGTGGCTGATGTCTTTATGGTTGAGACAAGAACAACGCCTTATAATGAACATATTGAGGATGCTATATTACAAGATGTTGCAGTTGAGGAAGGTATAGCGCCAGACTTAACTCAACGTCTTGTACAACAATTAAAGCAAAAGGATGAACAGATTTCAAATATGGAAAAGAAGATAAAAGAAATGATGGCCACTATGGCTTCTTTCCAAAGTCAGGGTCCTTTACCACCACGAGCACAGGTTGAGTCTTCTCAACCCGAGCCTGTTCAGGTGGTAGGGAAGAAACAAATGATTGAGACTATAGAAGAACACCAGCAAGATCTAGAAATTAAAGCTTCTCAATCAAAGGAAATAAAGCAAATGGTAGAAAAGCAAGTAAGGGAAACATTAGTAGAGTCTCAGAGCGCATCATATACTCCAAAGGGTAGACCTTACCTAGAGGAGTTTGATGCAGTTCCTTACCCAAAGGGTTTTGTGCCTCCCTCCTTTAAGATCTTTGATGGTACTGGAAACTCAAGACAACACATATCCTACTTTAGAGCCAGTTGTTGCAACGCTGGGGGTAGCGATGCTTTACTTTTTAGACAGTTTGTCAGTAGCCGGTCAGGGGTAGCGTTTGATTGGTATGCAGATCTACCAAATGGTTCAGTGCACAGTTTCACAGAGTTAGAGAACATGTTTGTGAAGAGATTTGGAGGCAGTCAACACCATGTTACAGTTGGAGATCTTGTAATAGAGAAACAAAAGCTTGGAGAAAAGTTACTTTACTACATACTTAGATGGAGGAACTTGAGCTTGAAGTGTGAACCTCCTCAGTAAGGCCTTTGAAAAGGCCTCCTGTCTACAAGAAGAAGCTTCACAACTCTCCTTCCTTGTTGATCAGTCTTCTTAAGACAATAAGAAGTTGAAAACCCAGAAGGTCTTTGAAAAGAAATCTGGGATAATTTCAGCTGTGGATAAGGGAAAGCAGCCAATAAAAGTTTAAACAGAAAGGTCACCTCCTCAGTTTTATAATCAACAGTATCATAAAGGTCACCACAACACCCGCCACTTCAGATTCAGTCAGAATTCAACCAACAACGGCTTTACCTTACTCCAGAAGAAAGAAATGAAAAGTGGGAAAAGTTTAATGCAATGGTTTGTAAGACTTATCCATTTAAGAAGGAGGCTTTGAAAAAGATCTTCAAAAATCTTCTGAAAAAGCCAGACTTTAAGTTACTTGCACCTAAAAGGCCAAATGAAGTGGGTAAGTCGGATCAACCTAATTATTGCCCCTACCATCAGATGTTGGGCCATCAACTTGAAGATTGCATCACTTTTAAAGAATGGCTTGACAGAAATATGAAATTAGGAGCTGTAGTGATTCCCAAGGAATACTTAGTGGATCCGGGGCAGGGATCAGCTAAGTGTGTGACTGGTGAGCCTATCGTTCCTACTTCTTTTTCAAATTCTTATTCTACTTGGGATATAGTTTTATCCCGTTCTTCAAAGAAATATCTAAACACACTTTACTTTTCTTCTCTTCAGGAGTCTTTGGGAGCTCAGAAGCCTCTCAAGGTTGATCTGATAGTTCCAGAAGATGATGTAGAGATGACTCTACCTTCAGAGCTTAAGGAAACCCGAGTCGGCCAGGGTACTATAGTTCAGGAGGAGGACACTAGAGATCATTTTGTTGCTTTTAGTAGTGTTGATTGTGATGTATCTAGTAGAGTTGTGTTTTCTTCGGATGGGGAGACTGTTATCCTCAATCCTCTTATCATAGATGACTTTTATTTTGTTCAGTGTGATGATATCAAATCAATGAAAAAGAATTCTGCTTATATCTTATCTATTTCTGATAATGATGTTACGGATGACTTAAAAATTACACCTGAAAATGATTCTCTGCATGATCAATTTAATTTTGAAGAATTAAAACATTCTCTTGGCTATTATTCACATAGTGATGTCCCTGCTCTTGATTTACAGGGTACGCCTATCTATATTGAAGCCGAGATGTCTGATTCTAAAAATTTAACATAAGTGAAATCAGAATTAGCTGAGGTCGAAGAAGATATTTTGCCTGTCACTTCTTCTGAAGAGATAGTGCAAATCAAGATTCGTAGCGGCAAAGTGCTACCACCTCATGCTCCTTCTGAAGATAAAGGGAAGCAAATTATTGACGAGCCAGAGTCTTCTCTTCCACCTTAACCCATTCCTTTTTAGAGTCCAATTGAGAGTGGAATGCCCAAGGTCGATTACAATGTCTTAGCTCATCTTAGGAAGCTGCCTGCCAAACTGAGCATTTACGACGCCTTGATCCGGATATTTGCATGGATCAGTTAGCAGCTGCACAGCCTGATGAAGCTCTTTGTTCCAGAGGAGTTCTTGAAATTTCTATTTCTAATGAAGATCTATGTTTAGGGACGGCTGATCACAACCGTCCACTATACATAACAGTGAACATAGATAACTTCAGATTGTCACGTATCCTTGTAGATCCTGGTGCATCAGTTAATATTATGACTCTAAGAACTCTTGCCTATTTGAGAATAGACGTCCGTAAGCTCAGCTCAGACAAGATGATCTTATGGGGTTTTAACGAAAATGGCGAGAGGGCTTTAGGTTCAGTTACTTTGTTGTTGAAGATAGAAGATTTTAAAACTGAAGCTAAGTTTCATATTATAGACGCTCCAACATC